TATATATATATATATATATATATATATATATATATATATATATATATATATATATATATATATATATATATATATATATATATATATATATATATATATATATATATATATATATATATATATATATATATATATATATATATATATATATATATATATATATATATATATATATATATATATATATATATATATATATATATATATATATATATATATATATATATATATATATATATATATATATATATATATATATATATATATATATATATATATATATATATATATATATATATATATATATATATATATATATATATATATATATATATATATATATATATATATATATATATATATATATATATATATATATATATATATATATATATATATATATATATTTAATAATAAATCTTAAAACATAAATAAAACTAATTATAGAAATATCAATAACTTAAAATTAAATACCAAATATAATTTTATGCAAGAAAAGAGTGCAGTGGCAGATCTGAAATAACTAATCCAGTGCTATTTCTATTTAAATTAATATTAAACTAGAATTGTTAAAATTTTAAACTAAAGCTTCAAACAACAAGATTTCATGCTGCAAAAAATAATATAGAATATTCTAGTAGTAGTGGTATACAGGACGGAAATTATTTTATAAGGTGAAGTGGGGTAAGTGCAGACTTGTTTTTGTAAAGTTGATATTTAAATGTAAGTATTTTCAGTCTGCTATGTAAATACTCAACGTTGTCGATATCGAACGCTTTGCACAATTACTACTATTTAATTAATTAATAATTAGAACCTTAATTTTCCTCGTACATTTTGATTTTGATAGGAAATTGTTTAAAATATCAACTGCTCTGCACTTTCCCCGAAAATGGGGAAAGAGCGTAACTTGAAGTTAAAAATACTTTGAAACTATATTTCATGTGCAATGAGGCGAGAGCAGAATTATTAATAAATCTGCTATAAAATGCTTTTTACTACGTTATGCAAGTACTCTACACTGCAAACAAGTACTCTTAGCTGAAATATACAAGGGGATATAGTGAAACAAAACAAGGAAACAAACATACTAAATGGAAAAATTTCGCTCATATTGAAATAAAAATAGCCTGTATACGCACTTGCCCCATTTACGAACTTACCTCACTTCACCTTATGAAAAAATACAGCAGAAATGTAGAATAAAATCTCATGTGTTATATCATTTTTATAAAAATTAAAAACGGCTCTTTAAAATATTTGTCAACAATTTTTATACAGTACAAAACGACACTTTTTAATTCTTTTAGTAGTAAGTATTAAAATTAGTGAATGTCATAAATTAATAAACTATTAATAGTACTATTATACTTTATAGTACTTTATAGCAAAGTATTACTATATATCAGGGGTAGCCAACCTGCGGCTCGCGAGCCACATGCGGCTCTTTGAAGGATTATTTGTGGCTCTCGATAAATGTACCCAAGTTCCCTTTTCATTTTTGTGCTATTATATTTTAAAAAATTATTATCGTTCCATATATGTTTCAAAATTACTGACGACAGATATGAAAGACTAAGTGCAACGTTGAAACAAATTTCATTTCCGTCCAAGTTAAGAATAATATGACTCATCGAAAACTGCGCCATCGAAAATTGCGGCTCGCGAAACATTTCAAACTTTGAAAAATGGCTTGGACTATCAAGGAACTTGGCCACCCCTGCTATATATTATTATCCGTCATTGCTCTTCATGATTTTGTTGAAATACTAACGTGTACCGTGTTGAATACGTATATAAATAATAACATTATAAAGGACACTAATTAATAGTAATTTTATAGTATTTACATTAAGATTTATTACATTAACAGATTTAATAGAATTACAGGTTAATAGAATTTAATATTACATTACAGATTTAATAGAAAAATTGTAAAAACTCTCATTTTTCTTGTCATGAACACATCTAATTGTAAAAAATATCCCAAGAAATCTCCCATTTTAATTTTCTCTAGATCTAGATAAAAAATATTATTTTATATTTTTGACTAACTATAGCATATAAAATCATCTGTCTTCAACCGTCAGTGCAGGGACACCTCGTACATAGAAAAGTATTACAACATATAAAACAGCAACATTTCAAACGTTCTTTCAGCGCTCCGAGGTTAAAAGATTGAAGTGAAAACTGTTTAAAATTAGCAGGTATAAACCACGTCTAGCAAGAAAATATTTCCACCGTTTTGCCGACCATTCCAGATAATTTTATCAGCTAGTTTTCCTTCATATTTAATTAGGTATCATCAGGGAATACTTTTCTGTAGAACAAAGCTCACATTCGTAAGCTTCGAACACTATTAACTGCAATAAACCAGGTCGTAAAGGCCTCGAAACTCTAATAACTTAAAATTACGGAGAATTATTAAGGACACCGTTTCTCAACACATACTTTCAGTTTATGGTGGATTCAAGGCTAGTCCTGTTCTCGGGAACAGCTTTCCCTTGCATCCTTGACTTTTCAATTTCACATTACACTTCTTTCATCCAGCCTCCTTTCGTCAAACTCCGTCATAATCCTCTCTTATATTCACTTAGATACTAGTGAACTTTTGTTACAATCATTTCTCTGTATTTTTTATATTCTTTGAAGAAATTGAATTGGAACACCTCAAATAAGTATACAATTTTACAATAATACTAATTATAACCATTTACCAATCAGTGATTAATCAATGATTATATTTACTTCAGCAAAATCACTTTACTTTATCATGATCTCAATTTTTGTACACCAAAAATAGCAAATCTATTGTCTATTGCAGTAAAGAAAAATAACGTTTCTTACATTAAAAAAAATTGTAAAGGACGCACACTTTGGTACCCTGAAACACTACAGCCCTTCCGATTTTTTGTTTAGGTAGTTTGAAACTTTATTGCAGGATTAAGCCTGGATGTATAAATCTGGGTAAACCCTCGATGTTGGAAAAGGAACCGAAGGGTCTGTTTGTGGACCTGTAAACTTAAGAGAAATTATGACGCAGGTATTAAGTAAATCTTCACTCTGTTCATAACTGCTGCCCGATTGTAACAAAGAAATATAACGGATTCTGCGTTGCGATACACTCAGGGTTCGTCTTAAAAGATTAACCCTTTCGCTACATTCAATCAGAGAATACTGTACTTACATACAGTGGAAAACAAAAGTATTCGTACACTTGAAATATAGAAATAAAAAGAACATTTTTTATATTATTAAGTATATTTAATCATACATAGCTGTATATTAAACATAACACTTATAGCAACAAATGACTCAAAACCAAAGGGAGAAACATCGTGTAGTAACTTGGAATGACTTGAAGTTCACGAGACTGTAAGAAATCGCCGGGACAACAGTATTCGTATACTTAATTGTTGCTGCAATTATTTTAGTAGGAATTTTATAAATTGATATTTTGTATGATAACCCTTCCGGCGAATCACTTCACGTAATATATTGGGCTTTGATAACACCAAACTTTTAACGAAGTCAGGTTCTATATTACACCATTCTCTTGTTAATATTTCTTTCAAGTATTATATCATGTTTTCGCACATTTTTTTCGAGTTTTGCCCGTGCATATTCGTTAGGATTTAAGTCAAGCAATTGGTGAGGAATTGCTAACCTGTGGGGAGTATTAGTATCAACAATCACTAACGTACTATACATATAGACTGTATGTTTCACGTCACATTCGCTGAAAATAAAATTAAATCAATTCATTCTAATTCATCTGTACTGTTTTGTAAATCTTTTAAAATATTTAAATGTAAATGTTTATCCATTATTTTATTTATTATTACTAAATTGTCGCCTCCAGAAGCAGCAATATTTTAATAATATTTTAGAAATCCAATTCAGCATTAGTTTTCCGCCATACTTTTTTATTATCATCTCACTCAAAAATATTAAATTTTAACTCTTCGGAAAATACTACTTTTTTTTCAGAAGTTGTCGCTAGCATTTATGTATTGTTCTGCAAATTCTAATCTTTTTTGTTTACTTTGCTTATGAGTGGTTTCTTCCTCGCAACTTTACTTTTATATCCGGCCCTATATCGGTCAATTTTTACTTGTTTTTGGGTGAATTTCTTTTAGCATGTATTCTTTAAAGTATGATGCAGTTTCAGATGCACTAGTATCTGGTTTTCCTTTAATAATTCCAACGATTTTACACTCTTCCCTCGTAGTTAATTTTCGGAGTCTACAGGTTCTATCTTCAGTCCACAATATTCCTTCTTTTTCCTATTTGTTTATAATACTTTGTACAATCGATCAACTTCTTTTTAGTATTTCTGACATATTTCCATATGATTTACCTTCTTCATGTAACCATATAACAAATTTTCTTTCCTGAATTGTTGTTTCTTTGTGTTTTTTCCCCATATTGCAAGTATTAGTGTTTAATTGTACTCGCCGTGATTACGATTAAACTAACATAACATCTACTAATGTAATGGTTACATTGATCAGGATATCCTCATGCTATCACAACTGTTGTATTTATTAACATAAATGTTAATGTACGAATACTTTTGTCCCAACGATTTTTTACAGTCTCGTGAATTTCAAGTTATGTCAAGTTACTACATGATGTTATTGCCTTCAGTTTTGGGTCATTTGTTGCTGTAAGTATTATGTATAATATGCAACTATATGTGATTGAATATACTTAATAATATAGAAAATATTGTTACTTTTATTTGTATATTTCAAGTGTACGAATACTTTTGTCCTCCACTGTATGTACTCATAGGTAGAAATATTAGTTCTTTCAACTCATCGCATAGAATTATTTCGGAAAAATTTTAGTACATCATAATTTAAATTTTATTCTCTTTTATTTTGACAGACACTATTATTACTCTTCTTTGTTTATTTATTTTTTATACATATATTATTGATTAATGTCGCATAGCTTCTGTCGCCGGTAGAATTGAATGCCTAATGATGGATGATTACAGTTATAGTCAGTGTAGTTAGTTATGAATAAGTTAGAAAGATTTATTGCTCGAAAACTTGTTTGAGGTATATGTATAGAAGTTACGCAAGATTGAAGTAAAATTTAGTATGCATGCATGTTGTTTATTTTTCTTTGTAAATCGAAACTAACCGCTTAAGAAAATAAAACATGTTTTAGAAAATACATAGTGTATTTTAATTTTTAAGAAATCAGTGGTCCAGCTGATGAATGAGTTAGCTTTCATATTTGATACACAATATTTATTTTTAAGAACATCACACATGCATATTTAACTTTGAGGCCTATTTTTATCCCTTCAATATGAACGATGGACGATAAAAAAGAAGGCCTATCAAATATTTTCTTGAGAACTATCTTTTACATAAGTTTCATTAAAATCATTGTGTCCCGGTTCGATGTTTCCTTGTTAATTTATTTAAAACTTTTTCTTTTACAAATGTTTTTGTTATTTCATTTAAAAGTAGAAATTTTATCCTGTCGGATAAATGCATTTAGTTATAATTTTACATTGTCTAAATGTAAAAGAATTTGTAGTTATCTAAATTATTTTCTTGATCGTTTGTAATATTTATTTTCCATATTTTCAAATCGTTCATTTATCTAGTATACACTAGTATTTTGTATATAACTTATCTTACAGCTTTAGTAACTTTACATTTGATCAATTATTACTACTCTATTATAACTGTCACTCACTATTAATACTACTCTTATTTCTTCTATTCACTACTAATACTACTATACTGTTATTATTACACTAGTATAATTATTACTCTGTTACTACTCTAGTATTATTATTACTCCAGACCTATTATTATTCTACTACTATTATTACTATTATTACTACTTTATTACTATTACTACTCTACAACTATTATTACTCCACTGCTATTACTACTCTATTACTGTCATCGCTTTACTATTATTATTACCCTACTACTATTATTGCTTTACAGCTATTACTGCTTCACTAGTATTCCTACACATTACCGTTACTACACTGTTATTACAAGATATGACTCTATGATTGTTATTACTCTATTCTTATTACTAGTCAACTATTGTTACTACTCTATATATTATCATTTCTACTCACTACTACTACTACTCTATTACTATTATGTATGATTTCACTATTATTATTACTTTTCTCTTATTACTACTCAACTGTTGTTACTGCACCATTATTATTACTATTCACTATTATTACTACTCTGCGACTACTACTACTTTACTGTTATTAATACTCAACTACTATACCCTACTACTATTGCTATTTCTAATTATCAAAACTGCTTCCTAAATCATTTGACTATTAGGACATTTAGATCATTTACAATATTCCTAAGACGTGACGACAGAAGCCTTTTTTCATTGGCCTCTAGCGAATCTAGTGTTTCTTAAAATTCTCAAACCGAACAGTCAGCCACAATTCTTCTAACCTAGAACAGGATCGTGTTTCCGTAAAATACACAGCTCGCGATCTCGTTTTCGTTGCAACCGGTCGCTGGTCCAAATGTGCAACGTGATGTAACCTAAGCTTTTGTGCAGACGCGTCGCAACATGATATCACATGACCCAGCATCTCGGTTTCTACTTAGACTACATGCAGCCCCTGTGATCCACGTGACCACGTTCGTATCATGGCGTCCGCCGTGAGCATGAGATAAAAATGATCGGTAAGGGGGACATTTTTTGCCGGCGAAAATGAGCTGTCTATCTTATCGCCCGAGCAAATAATGACCTCCTCGCGACTTGTCGATTGAATAATATCGTTGCACGTTAATGTGGGGCTACGCTAAACTCGGTCAAGGCACGTAACTGTCCAGAAGTGCTGTTGAACCCCTCGCTCGTTAGATCTCGATCAGCAGACGGGAAACTATATCATTTTTCAGTATGAAGTTTAGAATTATGGTATTTTGAACTTTGGAATTGGACGAGTCGAAAATGATGAAATTTAGGAATTCGGGGATTTCGAAATTTAAGAATTTGGAACTTGAGCAATTTGAGGATTTGGGGATTTGGAGATTTAGAGATTTGGAAATTTGACGATTTAGCGATTTGGTGATTTGGGGATTTGGGGATTTGGGGATTTGGGGATTTGGCAATTTGGCGATTTGATGATTTGGGAATTTGGGAATTTGGGGATTTGGCGATTTGATGATTTGGGAATTTGGGAATTTGAGGATTTGGCGATTTGGCGATTTGGCGATTTGATGATTTGAGAATTTGGGAATTTGGTGATTTGGGGATTAGGAGATTGGGGGATTTGGGGATTTGGAAATTTGGGAATTTGGGAATTTGGGGATTTAGGGATTTGGGGATTTGGGGATTTGGGGATTTGGGGATTTGGAGATTTGGTGATTTTGTAATGTGGGGATTTGGTGATTTGGTGATTTGGGGATTTGGGGATTTGGGGATTTGGGAATGTGGAGAATTAAGGATTTAGAAATTTAGAGATTAGAGAATTTGAGAATTTAGAAATATAAGAATATGGGAGAATCGGAACTTGAGAGCATGGGATTCTAAAATATACGTAGAAATTTAAGGATTCAAGAATTTTGGGAGATAAGCATTTCAGTATTTATAAAGAGGATATAAAAATTTAACTATTTCGCAACTTATAGATTTCGGGATTTAGGAATTAACTTGTATTTCCGCAGCTAGGAAATTAGGAAACATGTTAGCATGAAAATTTATAAATTCAGACGTTTTTTGTAATTTTTGAAATTAAGAAATATATTAAATTTGAAATTTAGGAATGTAAGAAACTGGTATTTTGAAAATTTTGAAATTAAAGTTCTCTTCGATTTCTTAAGTCAAATCCCAGAATGTGTGTAGAATAATCCACACGTTCCGCACAATCTATGTCGGCCATGACCAACGGAGGGTATCTGTTTTGCTACCGGTCCAGCAATATTATGCAATGAAACTTGAAAGTGAATATACAGATCGTAGATATGAACTTCCGTGATCAAGTGCATATTGGAATATGCACGCGATTACGGTTGCTTGTCATAAACGAGCACGAGAGATCGCGGTAATTACATATTCAGAGTAGGATACAGCTCACTGATTTCGATTACCTTCTAATATATTGTCAAGATCAAGGGTATGAACTAGTGGATCTACAGACCAAGTGTGTCACGCTAATTCAAATGTGTATTTCACATTTAGTGTACCTACTGTAAACACGTAGGTAGAACAGGAATGAGATGTAGAGGTTTTAAGGTCGTTCCGAATGATTAAACGTGTCTGAAACTATCGAAAATGATATCGACCACGATTATTGTTGAAATGATTCAATTTAGAGAACAATTTTAAGTTAAAATTTGAAAGGTATCTTCTGACATCTCTTGGTAGAAATAGTGTCAAATAAAAGCCTGTGGAATTCGTTTCAATTGTACATCTTTGTCTATACTAATACCAACTGAGTAGTAACAAGTGAGTCTATAGACTAGGTCCCTCACGCGAATTCAAATGCGTACTTAAAATTCAGAGTACCTACTGTAAACATACAGAAGAGATGCAGAGATTTTAAAGGCGTTCCAAACGATTACACGTGTCTGAAACTATAGAAAACGTTACCAATTACGGTTATTGTTGATTTCACGATGGCTGACATTAATGACAACCAAGTATTATCGTCAACAACGAGTTATAGAGCAGTTAACATGGTCCTAG